AGAATGAATGGGTTTAACCTGAAAGCTCTTCCCCTCCCCTGGTCACAGGCAGCTATTGTCAGACTGAATTAGAAAGTTTGCAGAAATACATTGCTTAAGCAGGGAAAAAGGGGAATGGTCATAAAAACCGGCGGAATTGCTGCACACAGATTGTTATTTGGCCTTTAAATTGCAAATGGCTGATTTTAAATAGGCCTGGTGCAGATGGTTTCTGCTACAGGTTTATTGATTAAAATAGCTGCTTTACAGCAGCTCTGGGTTTGTTCCTCCAGAGGCTTTTGTCTTCATGAATAATGTACCCATTTGCTGAAATTTTGTTAGAATTCATCTGCTAGAGGCTGGCTGTATTTCTCTAGGTTCCTAAGCCTCAGTTGACTAGGCTTAAAATTGTGACAGTCTCTGCCCTTCCCTCCTTAGAAATGAATATTCCCTCTTCCACCTTTGCAGCGCTGAATAGATCTAGTGCTTGCACATTGGAGAGTGCACTTGGAAACAGCTGTGAGTGTTTGGCTGTTTGGAGAAGGCTTGTATGATACTGAAGGCTGTCTTGGCTATGCTGGGGATTAGATTTTTGCCAGCCATTGATCCAAAGCCTGTAAGAGTGAGTGGAAAGATTCCAGTGAGCTTTGGATCAGACCATTAACTCTGAGGCACAGTGCTGCTTTAGGTGGGCATGTTTCATGCTTTCAGTGCCGTAAGTCTTCCAATTTGCTGGAAGCATTTAGTGAATATACGCGTAGGGGCTTTTTACATTATTATTATTCAGACTATTTTATGCATTTCTAAATATGTGCATCTCATTTCTTAGGAGATCCTTGTGCATGTTGTGTTAAGCACAAAAGGTACTGCTTTGCTTGCATAGGGAATGGTGGAAGAGGCAATGCTCAGCTTCACTTTGCAGACTGAGGCTTGCAAGTGCTGTTGTCTCTTCTGAGATGCCACTCTGCAACAGGAGAACACTACTTCAGGACCTATAGGGAAAGGAGGGGTATGCACAACATGGAAAGCAAATGGAGTTGTTAACATACTTTCCCTCCTCCTCCCTTCTGATCCCCTTCCCTACCATTATAGTAATATTTGTCTTCCCTTTAACCAGTCACTACAGTAATAGCTCTTCATAAAACATCTGTCAAATCAGGGCAGGGGAAAAGTCAGATTAATGCCTTTGGTGAAAATATTTTAAATTGGGCTTCCCTTTCACACTTATGCATGGAAAAAGAGCATTGTTGGTGGAAGAGCTAATTCAATCTCATGATTCTGGAAGTGTGGCCAACCACAGACAACCTGGCCTGTCTTTACTCTCTTGGGAGCAGGGGGATGGGTGGTGAGCCTTTCTTTCTACAATTTTACACCAAGATAATCACAGAAACAAGTAACAGTTAACATGAAAAATAAGCGATTCCATTCTGAAATGGCCAAGAACAGGATGTTGCAGTGCCTGAACCTTATTCTGAAGGTTTTGCAGGTTTGATTTGTTTGGTTTTCTTTAACCAAATTAAAATCTCCTCAAGATTTCATTTGGCAAACTGTTTTGACCCAGGTGGGACCATAGACCTTGACAGAGTATTAGTTCTTCTGAAGCATCTTTGATTTGTCTCTATTTTTTTTAAGGCATAGAGGTTGTGGGAATGATAACTTGCTTCTTTATGACAGTCAAACATAGAGCTAGAATCACACTCTAAGGGCAGCTGACAGTCGCTAGATAGATGGTTACTGTGTGGATGTTAGGAGCTGAGAATCCTCCCTTCGCAGGACACCCATCTGGTGACCAGTGCTGCCACAGTATATCCCTCACACTTCTGACAGACCTGAGAGAAAGATGTGTGACCGGAAATATGAGCATCCACTGGATTTTTTTGCTGTCTGGAAAGCCCCCTGGGGCTGTGGAATGAGTGTATGTGGTTTAGAGCAGGTCATTAGACTTTTTCTTTCCTCCCTTAGAGCCTATCATAAGCGTGGGGTAGACCAGACGATGCACGAAACGTCCAACGCTAGTGTGGCCTTCCCAGCAGCCTCACTTCCTTACATTATAGTTATAAGCAAGATTCCCCTTGGTGTAGTTAGGGCAGTAGTTGAACAGTTTGGAAGAATTCCCCCCTGCTAAAAAATGTATGGCCTAAAATTGTAGGAGAATGTTGAATGTTCTCTCCACTCTTGGCCAAAATACTTTATGTCAGTGGTGAAACAAAGGAAGCCTAGTTTATTGCGGTTGAACCTTTGGTATCTCCAGTCGTGGAAGCTCTTGTTGAGGCAT